ATGGAATCGTCCAACATTTTTGATCAGTATCTTGAACCACTCGTCGGCAACGCGAAGAGATTTTAATCCCCAACCACGCGTTGTAGACGGGTATACGCGTTGCTTTATTTTGCGAGGCTCCCTTAGTTAAAGTGGTATCTATCAATACTATATCATGCATGATATATAGGTCAATGCCTAAGTAAATTTCTAAAAGGAACGGAAAAGATAATAAAAAAGCAAAGGTCATACTACAAGGTATAGTAATTACCTTGCAATATAATGTATGATTAAACATTTGTATACTACCCAAAAATATTTAATGCAATGCCCATGAAATAGGCAATAGATTTATTAATTTTTGCTATTTTTCTTTTTTCTTTTCCTTAACTTTCTTTTTTCGTTACAATCTGGTGATTTTTTTGTTGGCGTAAGGTTCGACTTTTCACTTTTATCGGCATCCTCAAAAGCGGACTTTTCTTTCAGTTTGGTTTTGTTTCTTTTATCATGTTCATTTTCTCCTTTAGATGCTGATGATTCAAAGTAATCCGTTACCTTCTTTTGTTCTTGTTCATCCCTTGGTTCTTGGGTGCTTTGATCTTTGATTTCTTCACTTGTATTTTGTTCACATGCAACATCATTATCTGCATCACTGCAGCTACTTTCTGTGTCATTTACGCTGGTGTTATTGTGTGTACTAAATACATCATCGTTTGTGTCTTCCGTCTCTACATGATGTAGGTCCACTGTACTTGTGTCACATGTTGCTAACTTTTCATTTTCACGTCGCATAGTATCGTCATTAGACGTTTCTGGTAATTTAACGAAAGAATCCCACATGCGATTGATGTACGAACCAGCAGAGCCCACTGAGATACATTGAGTATCATTGGAACATTTGTCCTTGGTATGACCAGGCTGATGGCATTTAAGACAAACTGTATCTGACTTACAGTGATAGGCAAGGTGTCCTATTTTCAAGCATTTCTTACATTTTAGTTCTTGTCCTTCATGAAAAGCTCTAGCTTTGAAACCGTTTATTGTCACTTGTCTTGGTATTGATGACGTCAATTTTTCAACAAATATGGCTCTGTCCCCATTAAGCCAGCTAGTGAGTTGGCCGTTAACCCTTATTTTCATTCTCATAATTTCTCCTATTGGTTTACATCCTAGGACTTTTAATCGTTTGAGTATCTCAGAATCCGAGACAGAGAGTGGAATATCTTTGATTGACGATATAATAGATGTAAACAACCTTGTTCAGTTGGTTAAAGGTCCCACCCATAATCGAGGTCATACATTGGACCTTGTCATTACTAATAGTCCACATCTAATAATTAAGTGCGATGTGCATAAGTTTCCCATTTCCGATCATTTTGTTGTTCTGTTAAGTTTTAATCTTTCAAAACCACACTTAACAAAGAAAGAGATTGTCTATCGTAATTTCAACAATATTAACATTACAGCTCTCGAAGCAATAATTTCTGAGTCATTTGCTATTTTGTCTGATTCACCAGATCCAAATGTGACTGTTGATCAGTATTATAAGGTATTTGAACAAGTAGTCAATGAATTTGCTCCTAGGAAACATTGTACCATCATTGAAAGGTCGACATCTCCGTGGTATACCCAAGAATTAAGAAACACAAAGAGGATCTGTCGCAGACATGAGCGCAAATGGCTTAAATCGCATGATCTCAATGACTACGGTATATTCCGGTACTACTGCATGGAGTATCACAAGCTTATTAAGAAAACTCACACAGAATATTTATCAGCTAAAATTGAAGCATGTGGCTCAGATCAGAGAAAGTTGTACCAAATGACAAATAGTTTATTGGTAGAAGCAAGGGCTGTATTATTCCAACAATTCCTAACACATCACATAAACAACTTGCTGATCAATTTAATAACTTTTTTATCGATAAGATACAGAAAGCTCGTAACAACCTAATTTCAACCCGATCGTGTTCTTTGGCACATTCTTTTCCTGTTCAGCCGCCATTGTTTTGCACATTTAATTACGCAACCGATATTAATCTATCCAAGTTGATATGCGATATGCCGGCCATATGCTGTCAGCTTGACCCAGTCTCCATGACAATCTTGAAACGTGTGATTTCATCTACACTTCCAGTTATTTCATCTATTGTCAATAAGTCATTGTCATCCGGTGAGTTTCCTCACCGTCTTAAACAGGGCATAGTTAAACCTCTGCTTAAGAAGCCATCTTTCGATCCAAATATTTTGTCACATTACAGACCTGTTACAAATATTGCTTTCATTTCAAAAGTTATTGAAAAAGTAGTCGCAGATGAATTAATGCACTTTATTGTTCACAACGACTTATCAGAAGTGTTTCAGTCAGCTTATCGTAAATTACATAGTACAGAAACAGCAATACTAAAAATTCATAATGATATCATGGTATCAGTGGATGAGGGAAAGTGTGTGCTGTTAGTTTTTCCACATCTAGATGTGTATAAGAGACAGGAAAGAGATTGTCTATCGTAATTTCAACAATATTAACGTCCTCCGCTGGTTTCGGTCTTATCTACATGGTAGGCAACAAGCTGTATACATTGATGGTGTACTATCTAGTTACATAGATATAGATTGCGGGGTCCCCCAAGGCTCAATTCTTAGGCCTATATTGTTTACTCTATACTTTAAACCTATTGGTAATATAATTCGTCGCTACGGCACTAATTTTCACATGTACGCTGATGATACACAATTGTATCTCAGTTTCAAGCCCAACAATGACACGTGTGACCATGCAGTCACAACATTACAGACTTGTATCAAAGAAGTCAACACATGGCTCGAAAACAAGATGCTCTGTTTAAATGTTGATAAGACACAGGTCTTGTACATTCATTCTAAACGTAGAAGCAGCATTCCAACTATTGACAGAATTACAGTTGGTGATGATGTTGACGTTACTCCATCTACTGCAGTAAAGAATCTTGGAATTTTATTTGATTCTAACATGGACATGGAGAAACATGTTAACAGCATTTGTAAATCTATAGCATTTCAGGGACGAAATATCAGGCGAATTCGCCACCTTCTTACCGAACAAGCACTTATTAAGCTTGTTCATGCGTTCATCACTTGTAGGTTGGACTATTGCAACAGCATTCTATATGGCCTTCCTGATAAATTAATCTCAAAATTGCAGCGTGCGCAACATATTTCTGCAAGACTTTTCTCAGGAACTCCACGTTTTCATCATATCACTCCTATTCTGAACCGACTTCACTGGCTTCCTGTCAAACAAAGGATAGTTTTTAAGATAAATCTCATTACATACAATGCTCTTCACGGTCTTTCACCTGTGTACATAAGCAACATGCTAAATCTTCGGTCGATGTCATGTATACGGTCACTGCGATCGTCAACTAGCAGTTATGTACTTACCAGACGCTCTTCTAGGTTGAAATCCTATGGTGATAGAGCCTTCGGTGTTGCTGCACCTATCCCCTGGAACCAGTTACCATCTGCCTTAAGAGAAGCTACAAGTTTAAATATATTCAAGTCAAAGCTCAAGAAATTCCTG